AGCTCAGTCTCTTAAATAGCACCTTCTCAGAGTGGATCAACCAGTTTTGCTGCTGACAACCAAAACCAGCTGATCACATGCTCAAGAAGGACCATCAGCCTAACAATGGATCATTAGCACACTGATGGCTGTTTACTGTTCACAGAGGGCTGAGTGATACTAGCAATCACAGCATTGTAAGAGGGGGACAATTGAACCCGGAGGCTCCACCCCTGTTTAATGATGGACGGTTTCTTTTCACAAAGATGGCCTCCTTTACTCCTCTCTCAAACCATCGTTCCTCTCTGTCCAGGATGTGCACATCTTCATCCCTGAAAGAGTGACCGCTGGCCTGGAGATGAGTGTAGACCGCAGAATCCTGGCCTGATGATGTTGATCTTCTGTGCTGGGCCATCCTTTTGGCCAGTGGCTGTTTAGTTTCCCCGATGTAAGACTGATCACCCTCCTGACACTGAACAACATACACAACATTACTCTGTTTGTGCCGGGGGACTGGATCTTTGGAATGAACCAGTCTTTAATGTATTTTGGGGTTTAAAAGCCACTGGGACGTTGTGTTTAGAAAATAAACGTCTCAGTTTCTCTGATACTCCCTCAACATATGGAATGACCACTGGTCTGGGTCTGGGTTCCTCCTTTTCACCTGTTGGCTGACTGGAGTCCTGTTTGGGTTTCTTCTCTGCTTTCAGGAAGGCCCAGTTAGGATATCCACATTGCTCTAGAGCCTGTTTTGTGTGGGATTTCTCCTTCTGCCTGGGTCCTGAGCTAGTGGGGACGCTGTCTGCTCTGTGGTACAGAGTCCTGATGACTCCTAACTTGTGCTCCAAAGGGTGATGGGAGTCAAACTGCAAATACTGGTCTGTGTGGGTGGGTTTGCGAAACCAAAGTGTACCGCTGTTGGATTTCATATTTTTATACCTTTTTTATATTTCCTATCAAGCATTCAAATGTCATGTTATACAAAGTGTGTGTGTCTTTCTTCCAGGGTTGCACTATATTTATAGAAAATGTTTGCTAATTCTAACTAGTTGACCTTTAAATATAATCTCATATTAGCTAAGGATAATTTTACAAGTTCACATTTGATATATTACAAGCAATCAAATCATGCCAGATAACAGACTGATTAACATAAATAAAGCTAGAACACATCTCTTTAATTTAGACTTAATATAGTTTGACTAAGTAAAATCCAACCAAAGCAACTAAACTAAAACAGAAGTATAAAAAGGATCAAGTAAGAACACGCAAACACGAGTTAGATGATAATTAATAGTTATTAATTATTCCTAGAAATAAACAACTTTAACTCAAATCATTTGGTATCACTAAGGTATAATCACGTTAAACAAACAGCTAAAACGAACGATTTCAGTGAGGCAAAACTTCTTATCTGAAATGTAGACATTAACGTCCTTGAGGGGGCGGACTAGAGTCGTAACCCTAGCAACAGAAGCTAAACCAATCAGAAAGCTAGCCTTCTCAAACTGTGATAAAAGGCCGGAAATGACACACGCCCACCGAGCATTTCCGGGAGGCGCACACCGACGGTTCGTTCTTTAATGCTCCATTTATATGCATATATCTTATTAATGTAATTGTTTGTCTCTGAATATCTGTAACCCATGTTTTGTCAAATAAATCTTTTATACGAAGGGCGACGTCTCAGCTGTTTTGAACACGACGTGGTAGCCAGCCACGAGAGAAACTGAGACGTTTATTTTCTAAACATAACGTCCCAGTGGCTTTTAAACCCCAAAATACATTAAAGACTGGTTCATCCCAAAGATCCAGTCCCCCGGCACAAACAGAGTAATGTTGTGTATGCTGTTCAGTGTCAGGAGGGTGATCAGTCTTACATCGGGGAAACTAAACAGCCACTGGCCAAAAGGATGGACCAGCACAGAAGATCAACATCATCAGGCCAGGATTCTGAGGTCTACACTCATCTCCAGGTCAGAGGTCACTCTTTCAAGGATGAAGATGTTCACATCCTGGACAGACAGGAACGATGGTTTGAGAGAGGAGTAAAGGAGGCCATCTTTGTGAAAAGAAACCGTCCATCATTAAACAGGGGTGGAGCCTCCGGGTTCAACTGTCCCCCTCTTACAATGCTGTGATTGCTAGTATCACTCAGCCCTCTGTGAATAGTAAACAGCCATCAGTGTGCTAATGATCCATTGTTAGGCTGATGGTCCTTCTTGACCATGTGATCAGCTGGTTCTGGTTGTCAGCAGCAAACTGGTTGATCCACTCTGAGAAGGTGCTGTTTAAGAGACTGAGCTGAAAACAGCACCTCAGACTGAGGAAGTCTCTCGGATGAAAGACAAAACGTTTCTACATTTTTTTACTTTTTTTTTTGGAATGTCCAGAGGACCAGATTGAACTTTTTTGGATTTTTCTACCTGGATTATTGAGCATGCGTCAGGAAACAGTAGACAATCATAAAAGAAAACATAAGAACTAATAGTTTCAGGCACAACATTTAAAAAGGTTAACCACTGCACTGCTAAGACAACTTTACCAAAAAATAAAAAATCTATACCATATTTACACACAACAGTTACAAGTTTAAGTTATATATTTATACTTTTGCTGAAATGTGAGGATATTTTCTGTATTGTATATTACAAAACACAAGGGTTAAAACATCAATAAATTAAAATGATATAAACACAAACACAAGGGTTCATTGCGGGAAGCCTCTGTCCATGTATACCTGGCCTGTTGGCTGAAACCACAGCCCTGGCTGTAAACGCAGATGTAAAAGCTCTTGCCTTTATTCGGCCCATCTTTTCTACCCGTCTTCAGCATACACACGGTGCCTGCCGAACACAAAGAGCAACAGTTTGAAGGGCATGTTCAACAAGCAACACATAAAGTTAACAAACACAACTCTCAAGTCCATCATCTAAAACAACTTTTTAATTATTAAGGCTTACCGTGCACATTACACAAAACAATTTCCATGATCTCAAAAGCTCCCTCTCCGTTCAGAAACTCCAACGTTCGGTTTGTTCATACTGACCAACAGAAAGAACTTCCGGTTACTGTCTATCAGTGTAAAAGCTTATGTTCTTGTCTGATATCTAAATTTAACTATATATTCGAAAGACTTGTATTATATCTGCAATAAAATAACGTTTAAAACTAGTTAAATGCGTAGGATCTTTAAATTTAACGGAAGACCACAAAAAAAACTTACCAAACTTATCAATTTCACTTATTGTGAAATGTTTAGAAGGAGCGCAGTTTCACCGGAAACAGTCTGAAAACGATTTTTTTCAACAGCAATTTTATTTTACAATTGTTTCTTTCATATTATTAGAATATTATTACTCACAAATATAACGTTCAATTATTTTAAACACACAAAAAATGTGTAAGTATTGAAACTACAATACCCACAATGCATTATTAATCGTTGACTCTCGCGGGCTTTGTTTTGATATGGCGGCAGGTTTTCAAACTTCTTTTTGTTTAATGTGTTTAACCTTTTCCTGTACAACTGTAAAGCTGCTTTCCTTGTGTGTTACAGGTAATTCCAATGTGTTCCGATATGTTTAGTAATTTATTGAACTTTCTGCTTTGTTATTGGGGCCAAAACTCTTGAATTTATTGTCGCCAGCAAAGCTTCAAGACAAGCCGACGAACGTTATGACGTTTAAATGAAATGTGTTTAGACGACGTGTATCTGGATTATGACATTCATTACATGGCTGACATTTGATGTTGACATTAGCATTACTGAACAAACTTTTAAAAGTAAAGCTAGTGGTATGAGAGAGCGTGTTGGAAAGTGCTTCTTCATAATGAAATCAATCCTTAATCTGTCGTTCAAATCCCGGATTAGCAACCCCTGATTGACTGAAGCGCCTCGGCCGACATTATGTCATCTCCAGCCGGGCTGCAGTTCTCCCAGGCAGACTTCCTGGCCCGGTGGCTGCCGAGCAGCACCAGAGCCGGGGTGATCCTCAACTCGTCCCCGGATCTGGCTGGATCCTTGCGAGCCGCCTCCGCCTCGGGATCCCCGCCGCTGCAGCTCGACGAGTCCTTCATCTCCGACTTCGCCCCTCTGCCAGCCTCTGCAGACAGCAGCTGCCTGGATGTGGATGGGCCTGGACGGGTTCCCGAGCCTGATGTTCCGGAGGACAGCTCGGATCCTGCAGCAGCTAGAGATGAGCTCCATACTCTGGCTGAAGTTAGAAGCAGAACAGAGGAGCTAGCTCTGACTGTGAAGCTAGAACAGGTGAGCACACCGTCCTGTCGTTAGAACAGGTGAGCACATCGTCCTGTCGTTAGAACAGGTGAGCGCACCGTCATGTCCTTAGAACAGATGAGCACACCGTCCTTTAGTTAGAACAGGTGAGCACACCGTCATGTCGTTAGAACAGGTGAGCACACGTCCTGTCGTTAGAACAGGTGAGCACACCGTCCTGTCGTTAGAACAGGTGAGCGCACCGTCCTGTCGTTAGAACAGGTGAGCGCACCGTCCTGTCGTTAGAACAGGTGAGCACACGTCCTGTCGTTAGAACAGGTGAGCGCACCGTCCTGTCGTTAGAACAGGTGAGCGCACCGTCCTGTCGTTAGAACAGGTGAGCGCACCGTCCTGTCGTTAGAACAGGTGAGCACACCGTCCTGTCGTTAGAACAGGTGAGCGCACCGTCATGTCGTTAGAACAGGTGAGCACACCGTCCTTTAGTTAGAACAGGTGAGCACACCGTCATGTCGTTAGAACAGGTGAGCGCACCGTCCTTTAGTTAGAACAGGTGAGCACACGTCATGTCGTCTTCATGAGCCATGAGATAACTGAGCAGAGAATCAGGGGCTACTTATTTCACAGTAGTTTTTTTCTTCATATCATCGTCATGTTTAAACTGGTACAACTGCACTGAGTCCCTTCACCAATAATAAACTCAGCTGCACATTTATTACTGACATATTACTGGGATTTAAACAAATGTCATAAATATGTAAATGTTAGGAATTATGTCATTTAATATTTTCTTTTATTGCTTTTGATTAACATACTTTGTTCAAAAGAACATTTCTTCATTTGTGTGCCATAAAATATCTGAAAATGAGAATTTATAGTTTGACTTTATAGTTAACATAATAATTCTGCACAGTTATTTATGCATGCACTAGTGTTTATTTTTGCATGTTAAAGACGTGTGGAATTTAATTAGTGAATTATTCCTTCCAGTCTGTCACAAATTGTCTCAGTAATAATCAGCTAAAGTCTCGGTGTGAAATAGGATTGGAGGCTGCAGGAGCGTGCACGGGAGGACTCGCTGTTGCAATTCATCAAAATTGAACAAGATTAAAACTTACAATTATTTGTTTGCTTGACATTATAACAAAGGTGTGTCTCAGTTGAACTTTTCTTTAATAAATGCACTTCAATGTTTGGCGGGGTGGCGGTACAGAACAACAGATGCACCTACCGGTAGTTGTCAGAAGTCTAGAGGGCCCTCTCGCGCCTCTAGCGGCTGCAGATGATGTTTACTGTGGTTCACGTTAATGAACATTTCAAGTGTCAGTGAAAAACTGCGTCACGAACAGGGAAACAAAGTATTTAAGTCACAGACTGTCAAATCTATGCAATAAACTGCCACTTATATGCCAGAAAATACGGTAATGCTGTTCTAAAATTGGACCAAATGTCTGCGTTGTCTCTGTTTAAAGGATGAGGTTATTCATTTTGTACTAAAAATAAGGATTAAATAAAGGTGACAATATAATCTCAGCATTTTTCTTTTTTTAAGCTGATGTAAAAGAAATGATGGAAGATTGTCCAAGACTAGTCAGTGTTTGTCTCACCCTCAAACAAACAAACCAGAGCTAAAAAGATCACAGCTTAAAGGTAGATGTCATGAAATTACCCTGCAATAGTCTTAAGGTTAAAGGGTTAATACCCCTGCACTTCATCACATGCACTCCTTTGACTTCCTTCTCTATTTTAAGGATCTCTTATTGAAGGCTGATGAAGACTTGAATAGTAACTGGTGGTAAAAATCAGTATGCATTTATAATCTGAGTTGGAATTATGGCAGCATGAGGTCACAGGTAAACCGGTAGTAATCAAACATGTCGTGATGAGTTCTGTTGAAGCCAACTGAAACCCTGTTGAAGTTTTGTTACCTGTGTAATAATTACACAGGTAAACAGTAATACAGTGTAATTAATTACACTACAGTGTAATTAATTACAGTGTAATTAATTACAGTGTAATTAATTACACTGTAATTAATTACAGTGTAATTACACTGTAATTAATTACAGTGTAATTACAGTGTAATTAATTACACTGTAATTACACTGTAATTAATTACAGTGTAATTACACTGTAATTAATTACAGTGTAATTAATTACACTGTAATTAATTACACTGTAATTAATTACAGTGTAATACGGTGTGCATTCATACAGTTACGAAAATGGCAGCAGCACATGCATGAGCAACTAAAAGGCCATCAGTTGGAGGAGCAGCTGCACCTGCAGGAGGAGCATCTGAGGCTGTTGGGAATTATGAATGGATCCCAAATTTGCACAAAAGGTACAAAAAAACCCCAAGATGGATTACTCAGATTACATGAAATAGATTATTCCTTTAGCTAAAGCTGTATTTAATTTGTTTCATGAGAACTGAGGCGACTGTATTATGTCAAACACAGAGAGTTCTGAGTCCTCAGGAACACAGAGGGATGAGAACTGCAGTGAGATCACACACGGGACCCTTCTGCAGGGACACCAGCTCTCAGCAGCAGGAAGACGGGAGCGACTGCTCAGACGTCAAGATTATCATGAAGACGAGCAAGACGGTAAGAAACAGCCCTGACTGACCTGCTGACTGGACTTTGACCTGCTGACTGGACCTGTGACCTGCTGACTGGACCTGTGACCTGCTGACTGGACCTGTGACCTGCTGACTGGACTTTGACCTGCTGACTGGACTGTGACCTGCTGACTGGACTGTGACCTGCTGACTGGACTGTGACCTGTGACCTGTGACCTGTTGCTAAAGTCTACACTTGGTGTTTTTACAGCGATGCAGGACTGCACAGATGGTCAGGAGGAGGGATCTGAAACGGAGTGTTTTATAAAACAGTGTAAAGGAGCAGTGAGAAGTGAGAACAACACAAAACATGAAGATGACGTGTTTAACGACAGGTAAATGGTATTTGAATAAATATAAAACCGTTCAGATGACAGGCACCAGTGTGGCTGCTCAGGCTGCTGTCTGGTTGGAGTGTTTTGGCTCAAACAGCATGTGATGGTTCATTTGTTGCGGCTCCTCTGCAGACCGATAAGGCCGGGTGTTGGGGGTCAGAAGCAGACGTTTGAGGAGCTGCTGGAGGAGCAGCTCAGACTGGAGGAACAGAGGCAACAAGTGAGAGCGGCCGTGGTGATAAAATGTGTTGTTTCACATTCAGTTTGGTTGTAGGAAGACCACTGACTGCACACTCCTTTTAACAGGTACCACACAGAGCTGAAGCCCCGCCCAAGAGGCCATTTCTGAAGCGAGGCGCGGGACTTTCTAGATTTACCAACAAAGTTTCTTCTCAGACAGTGGAGGTGAAGAAAGACTATACGCTACAACCCCAAGGCAGAGTGCACCCTCGCAGCGACTCGGCGCCTGTTTTTATAGGGAAAAGTAGTTCCAGTGGAGCCTGGCAGCTTCCTGTTCAGCGTAAAACTGCAGTACTCAACAAAGAAAACCGACAGAGGGGACGTGGTTTGCCACCTCACAACGTCAAAGCAGAGAGCAAGGTGGCACGGACAAAAGTCTTAGGAGGTCACCAAAAAGAAAACGCAGCACTAGATTCGATTCAAACAGAACCAGAGCCCAGACGACACGAGCATGAAACGGGCCAAGTCAAGGAGCAGAATAAGGTGGTGTCGCTTCAGGCAGTGAAGAACTGGAGTCCAAGCATGCAGCAGAAGGTGAACCCTTTAGGAAGCCAGAGAAAAGCTGCTGAAGAGAAGAGCTCTAGTTCAGAAGTGGAGGTAAGGACAGGGTCAGAGGAGAGGACTGGACCTTCCCCGGATTCCTTGGAGTTATCGTTCCAGGAGAAGCTCCAGCGCTGGGAGTGTGACCGGCAGATGGAAAGCATGGAGCTGGGGGAGTTTGAGCTGCTGGAGCAAGCTGCAGAGGAGTTGTCCTTCTCATCCACCTCCTCTTTTGTCATGAAGGTGCTCCATTTATATTGTTGCTTTAGTTCAGTGGAACTTCTTATTTTATTACTTGTGCCATGTTTTCTCTTGTATGTGCACTAGTCCCTCGTTTATCGCAGGGGATCCATATCCTGAAGACCCGCGATAAGTTAAAACTGCTAAATAAGAATAGTAGTACAAGTAGTAGTTTATTTTATTATATTATATTTATCTATACCTACCCACCCACCCACCTCTCTCTCTATATATATATATATATATATATTATATATATATAATATA